GTCTCCAAACTAAAACCTAGCTATTTCCCACAAACTTATAATATAATACCTAATTACAATAAATTTAAAGTGTTTTTTGCACTACTTTAAACGACTACTTTCTGTATCAGTAGATTGTTAAGAACTTTAACTTATTTATTAATTATTATGTTCATAGGTTATAACATTTCTATTTTCTTTAAAGCTAAAATGCATTATAAATGTAATTTATGATTAAATACAATTTAGCCTGAAAAGTTGGAGTTACCAACAGATAATAACTGATTCAAGTAGCCAAAAGGTGATTTAATTTAGGTATACCTTGAGTGCATCCCATTTTAAATTTTTACCATTTTCATAACCTGAGTGCGTTCGCAGTCTTATCGACAAATTATATTGAATAACCCAAGTGCGTCCTATGACCAAGGTACACACTACACAGCTATAAATATCTACATATTTAAGATAAACTAATCGACTAAAAACTATTAAGATATAGGTCTGATGATCGAATATGATGGTTCAAATGCACAACTATGATACTTTATATTTAAGTCTTACAACTTGGAAATAACATTTTATTTAAAACTTATTATTAATAAAGCACGACTACAACTTACTTTTTTACAGTCAATAAATTATAGTTAACTGTTTACATCAATATTAATGGTATTATGGTGATGACACAACATTGCAATTATATCAATGATTATCATAGTTGAATGTCTGTATAATTTAAAATATTTTTTTTTTTTTAATTGCTACTGGCAGAATTGTGGAGGAGTAAGTTAAAATTGTTATTAAAAAGCATATTTTATGTATACAAATTACAAATACAACAATTATTGTTTAATAATATTAAAACTATTTAGTAAATATATGTAAATATAGATAGCCTGCATAGACTATGAATTTCTTATAATATAAAATATGTAAAAAAATAATAATATTAAAATAACRTAATATATTTATTGTTTTCAATTAGTTTTTTGTTGGTAAGAAATTTGTTGGATATTCCATGTTCAATAACAATTATGGCAAAATGAGAAAAAATAGTAAAACTGAACCAAAAATAAACAATTATGAAGATGTAAGTTTATTTTAAATCGAAATAATTTAAGTATTTAACACTTAACATGAAATATAATGTGTATGAATTAAACTTTGTTTCACATTTTTCACTATGAAGTATTTAAATATTTTTTCACAGTTTTTAGACCATGTAGAATATATTTATGAATTATTAATTTAAAATAAAATAGAATGATTAGTCATATAAGTTCACTTAATCCTTTTAAATTGTATATGTAAAATATTATAATACATTTTAAGTTTATTATACCTCAAATATACTTGTAATTTTATAAAACAAATGATTAAAGTAACTAAAATCATAATAAACAATATTGTAGTTACCATTGTTTTAAAATTAATATAAATTATTTTTTCTAACATTTCAGTAACAAAATAATTATATTTGAATAAATAGCTGATATTCTTTGTAATTTAAGTATTATCAATAAACCATTTGTATGC